CCGGAGAGGCGCTGGGCAGACCCAACTGGCCTCTCGGAGACCTCTGGTCTCGGGCCCTCTGCCTGCTCGGCAACCGTCTCCAAGACCTCCTGTCTCGGGGCGTCGCCCGTCGCCGTCGTAGCGGGCACCATCAACATGGCGCCGGTCCCAAATATCTTTTGTCTCGGGGCGCCGTCCGTCACAGGCAGACAAGCCTTAGTCGGTACCGACGGCAACACTCGCTCCGACGGATCATTCGGCTCTACCCTATTATTCCATAGGGCATTATTGAATAATATAATAATATGGTTGTGTGCATCGCTTGATGCGGATCGGGTTCAACCTTCTTTTTAAAAGAACTATATGTGGTGTGAGAGTGTGACATGCATCACTCATTTTCTCTGTAGCCGCCCTGCTCGCGGCCCCATCGCCCTTGTGTGAGGAGGACTTGTTCTGCCGCTTCCTCGCCGTGGCCACCCGGGCCGCCGACGTCTAGCCCCCGCGGTGCTCTCCCTCTCCGCGGAATCTTCAACACGCCCTCTACCTGCCTGCGGTGCTGTTCTTATCCCCTTTCTCGCCTTTTATCGGTATTGCTCCATTGGAGAGGTTCGCCACTTCTCTGGAATTTGACTCCGTGCTTTGGTTGTAGCATCTAAGAGCGACAGAGTTTGCTCTTGCCTCATTTTGAAGTACATCTTAGGAGGTTCTGTTTTGCGCGCAGAGGAGGGATGTCTTGAATTTTCTTGGATGGATTCAAGAAGCCATTCTGAATTTTTACTTTTGCGGTTCCTAATCACAGGAGTCGTCAGTTGATTCGCTAGTGGCCCTGGATCTTGGAAAATGCCCTTCCGTTTATATGTACTCCCTCCGTTTCAAATTACTCTGTAGGTGGTAGCACGTGAGTGGTCAGACACAACAGAACAAAAAAGGAATAAATTTTAAGATATGCGCGCTTAGAAACGATTGGCCTTAAACTGTTTACATTATTGATGATATGTTCAAAAGGTGTGACAGTGACAACGAGTGGGCAAAGGGAATCCATGTTTGATTTCATTATTACTACCTTGGTACTATATTCCTCTGATTAGTATTGCAGATCTAAGTGCACTCAAGAAGGGATAGAAATGGCAATCTTGTTGTGGTCGAGCATGTATTCTTTATTATCCCATCCACTGCAGATTGCCGGATAGTTATTCTCTCAGTTGTGTTGAACCTTGTTGCCAAGCTGCCTCCTTAGTCTCCCATGGAGTTTTAGTCCACTTGACTTCTGTACTCTGAATCGTCTCAATCATGCTCAAATTTTCTTGTTGACACATGCTGAACTTGGCTGCCAAGCTAATGCCCTCTGTTTCCTCTCGATTTCCTGTCGGAATTTGGCTATATAATATTGGTGAAATCCATCGGTATCTTCTTCCACGTTCGTGTTAAATATCCCTTCATTTCACTTGTGAACACCTTCCTTGTTCAGAAGTAGAGTGTGAAGTTCCAAGCATGCTGCCAAACATGGAGGAGCCCCTTGTTGGAGGCAAGAGTGAGAAGACAGGAGGGCCAGGAGAGAGCCTCCTAGTGATTGAGGTCAAGAAGCAGCTGTACCTTGCCGGGCCTCTCGTCGTTGGAAGCCTCCTGCAGAACGTCGTCCAGATGATATCAGTCATGTTTGTCGGTCACCTCGGTGAGCTCGATCTCTCGAGTGCCTCCATCGCCACCTCCTTCGCCGGTGTCACCGGCTTCAGCTTGTTGGTATATATATATTATGTCGACTTTGTCTCTTACATATGTTGGACCTCCTGAACAACTAACATCAGCTTTCTTTGTTCATGATCATTTGAGGCCGGCATGTCCAGCAGCTTGGACACACTGTGTGGGCAAGCCTTCGGAGCAAAGCAGTACCATCTTCTTGGCATCTACAAGCAGAGGGCAATCCTTGTGCTCACTCCTCTGAGCGTCGTGGTTGCTGTGATATGGGCATACACTGGGCAGATCCTCCTCTTCTTCGGCCAGGACCCTGAGATTGCCATGGGAGCAGGGAGCTACATCCGTTGGATGATCCCAGCGCTGTTCGTCTACGGCCCGCTGCAGTGCCATGTCCGGTTCCTACAAACGCAGAACATCGTCCTCCCGGTGATGCTGAGCTCAGGTGTCACAGCACTGAACCATATCTTGGTGTGCTGGTTGCTGGTTTACAAGCTTGGCCTGGGCAACAAGGGTGCTGCCTTGGCCAATACAATCTCTTACCTGACCAATCTGCTCATCCTGGCTCTCTACATCAGGCTCTCTCCATCCTGTAAGAGGACTTGGACAGGGTTGTCAATGGAGGCGTTTCGCGACATCCTTAGCTTTTTGAGGCTTGCCGTTCCATCTGCTCTCATGGTTTGGTGAGTTTGAGTTTATCCTTCTCTAATTGCAGGTATAATTTTCCGTCGTCCATCTCCAATTGAATTTCATCCTACATTTATTTTACACAGTTTGGAGTGGTGGTCATTTGAGCTGCTTGTACTTTTTTCTGGATTTCTTCCAAATCCTAAGCTCGAGGCGTCGGTGTTGTCTATCAGGTGAGGTGTCATATGCATGGCTTATTTCACATCTGGATCGCCTTCGCCTTCTCTGATAGTAACAGCTCAACTTGCTGCAGTTTAAATACTCTTTCATTAGTATTCAGAATCCCATCTGGGCTTGGTGCAGCTATAAGGTCAGACTGAACAACTTGAATTCATAAACCTGATTTTTGATCATATAGAGTACTTCAATGATACTCCTTCCGTAAAGAAATATAAGACATTTGAGATCACTGAAGTAGTGACCGAAAACGGCTTACATTTGTTTACAGAGGGAGTATTATCTATCTTACCATACGGAAAACCTGATATTCATTATTATCTTGCCTCTGTAGCACCCGTGTATCAAACGAGCTTGGTGCTGGGCGACCTGATGCTGCCCGTCTAGCGACCTATGTGATCATGGTTCTGGGTCTTGTATCGAGCGTATCGGTCGGTCTTGCTATCATTCTGGTGCGCAATTTATGGGGGTACGCATACAGCAACGAAAAGGAAGTGGTGGAATACATTGCCAGAATGATGCCAATTCTTGCCGTGACATTCTTGTTTGATGACCTGCAGTGTGTCCTTTCAGGTAAGTGCAGTGTAGGTGCTTCAGAGAAAATAAATTTGGAAATTATAAGGAGCCTGCATATAGATATAGGATGAACAATATCTGTGATCGGCGTTTTTCAGGTATCGTTAGGGGCTGTGGCTTCCAGAAGATTGGCGCGTATGTCAATCTCAGCGCGTACTACCTTGTCGGCATCCCCGCGGCTTTATATTTTGCCTTTGTGTACCACCTTGGTGGAATGGTACTTATTTTACTTATGTTATTATACAAAAAGCTCTAAGTTGACCTATATTCCTCATTTGACTTGAGGAAACCTCTGAAAAATGTCGTCATGAACTGTTAGGGGCTGTGGTTCGGATTAACCTGTGGACTTGTCGTGCAGACAGTGTTGCTCCTGTCCATCACCCTGCGAACCAACTGGGACAAAGAAGTAAGCGTGCGGTCATATTGTTTTGTGAGTTTTGTTATGTTGGCTTCTCAGTGATCATACTGCATTGTTGCTTTGGTAGGCTTTGAAGGCAAAGGACAGGGTTTTCAGTTCTTCCCTACCTTTAGACTTGGCAACATGAGACACACAAGACAAGATGCACAATTTTCTCAGGAAATTAGCCAGGGAGATGTGCATGGGGATAAGGAACCAACGAGGAATTGGTTGCTAAAATGGTGCTTCACTGGCATGTGCAATTCTTCACAGAAACATCTGGAAATAGGCGATCCGCTTTGGTAAAAACAATTTGGATACGGAAAAATAAAAATGTTAGGATGAGTAGAGGCGCAGTACTACCCTTGATAATGTAAGTAAGGGCAGGGAATAAAGTGTTTCTTCACTAGAATCCATAGTGTGGATCCAGGATTTCCTGAGAGGATTGATGAGATTATTCTCTTCACGGAAAGGAGGTTCCTCGTCAGCATTGCATATGCTTGGCTTTTGTGCTTGGTAGTGCATTTCTGAGGCATGAGGACGCTAGTGATTACGATTGAGGACCACTACGTATCTAGAAAAGGCTAAGGCCCCGCTTGGATTGGGTGTAAATTTATACACCCGGATTTAATCTACAGGTGTATTTTACCGGCCGCTGCGTTATTTCCGCCCAATTTGAAAACGACGGCTGAAGGTCTGTTTTGATTACGGGGGTATTTAGGAGCAAACCGACAATCCAAGCAGGGCCTAAAAGTAATGTTCGCCAGGACAAATAAAACAAGGAGACGACGTTGAGACTTTGCAGAAATGTGCTTCATGGGCAAACGGCGGTGACAAAAGTGTTTATCATCTTGGCTGGATGATTTTGAGCTTTCGTGATCGTAGTAGTAGCGTGGCCGCCCCCACGTGAGTCGGCAAAACTTGGTGTTGGTGCGGAGGTGCCCACCATGTATTGGACGGAGAACGCTCCTGGCCCGTTGTGTCCCTGATCTAGTGCTTTCTTTCTCTTTTGACATCATTCCTGATCTAGTGTTAGTGGCATCGCTGCGCACTACGGTTAATGGGGAGAAGACTAGAATAGAAACACAGGGTGTGCAAAAATGGAGTAAATAGCATAAAACTACTAGTTTACATGCTAGGGTTCCAAAAAACTATCACTTTTTAATTTTTCTCAGAAAGCTACCAGTCGCGCGGTTCGCTGTTTCAAAAAACCCAAAACGCCCGTGACTAGCGATTGAACCATTTTTCTGACCGCCCGGACCCACATGTCAGGCCACCTGGCCACGCGCGCTCACGGCGCGGTGTTGACGGCCGTTAGCCCGTGCGGCCCGGTCGGAACTGGGGTAAATAAACCCCCTCGGTCGGTCGGGCGCTCCTGCTCACTCACTCTCTCCCTGCTCGCTCACTCCCCTGCTCTCACTCCCCTGCTCCAGTACGAGCTCGCCGCCGCTCGCCGTCTTTGAGGTGGCTCGCCGTTGACCTCCTCGCCACCATGCCTTCCTGGAACGACGAGGAAACTAGCTCGGAGGAGGAGTGCGAGGTCGTCAGCATGGACATGGGACTTATGGTAAGTTCTTTGCCACCTAGGGTTAGGGTTAGGTGCTAGTAGGCCTAGGCTACCGCCATGGATCTTGCTAAGTGTAGTGTTGCTGTTGTAGGATTCTTGTTCAATAGTGAGGCTGGGGTTTGATTGTAGGATTGATGTAAGCTAGGGTTCATCTCAGTACAGTGTTAGGGTTCATGTTGAGTTGGGGATTTTTTTAGTGTTCATGTTTAATGAAGCGTGCAAGTATATTCTGGTGTTGAGTGCAGATTGAAACTAGTGTTTGCTGGTTATTTTGGTTGCTGGAGGAACCAGACACCACTGTGGAGCTTCTTTTCTGTGGCCAACTTGAGCTTGCTCATCCCAAGTGCATTCTGCATCAAATGAGGCCTATTAAGCGTGTTGCTTTTGAAGGGCCTTTAACAGGAAGACGTTTCTATGGCTGCCCAATCCAGGTTAGATGGCAATAAACTTTTCTGCTATGTATGGTCACTGATGATTGATATGATGCAACACTTTGTTTGATATGATGCCAATAAACATTTTTCTGCTATGTATTTTTGTTACTTTGGAAACTTAATCATGGCATTATAATAACTTATCATATCTCATTTATGTTATTCATTGTTAGAAATTATCAAGTATATACAAGTTAATCATGGAACTGAAATAAGCTCCTAGTCCATTTGTAATAACTTATCACATTTATAAATGCAGGAAAATGGTGTGAATTGTGGTGTTGTAGAGTGGGTTGATGGGCCTTGGCCGACTGTTCTTCAGAGATGTTTGTGCAAGCTATGGGAGATGTTCCATGAGCAGAACTTTGGAAGGGTACAGGACAAGGAGAAGTTTGAGAAGGAGTTGGCCAGGCTTAAGAGTGAACATGAAAGGGAGTTGGCCAAGCTTAGGACTGAAAATGACAAGCTTTGCATTGAGTACACCAAGCTTGTTGATGATGTATCCAAGATGTTTGATTGGCATGATGGTAGGGTGGACAAGAAGGTGCACCAGAAACAAGTGGAGGAGGAAGAACTTGAGAAGAAGAAGAAGGAGCTAGAGGAGAAAGCTATGTTGGAGGTGCAGATGGAAAAGCTCAAACTTGCAAAAGAACAGAGGTGCATTTTGCAGAGCCAAGCTGATATCATTAAGAACACCAGGAAGGCTATGAAGGATGTTCAAGTTGATAGAGATGTTCTTAAGAAGGAGAAGGCAAAGCTTGAGCTTGTTGTTGTTGAGCTGCTGAAAGAAGGGTATGGCAGCAAGGAGAAGTTAGAGCAAATCAAGGCCATCCTTGAGTCTTGAAGTGGCTTTGATATGTTGGTGAAGTAAGTACATCCAAAGGCCTTTATATAAGGATGTGGCCTGGCATGACTGCAAGTGATTATGAGTGTACATTTTGAGGGAATGTGAAGTTTAACCTAGTGTAAGAACCTTATTTACTATGTTGTTAAGTTGTAATGGATCACCTATGCTATTAAGTGTTGTAATGGATCTCCTATGCTATTATGTAGTGGAAAATGGATCTCTTATGCTACTAAGTTGTGAAAATGGATCTTGTATGCTATTAAGTGTTCAACTTGATCTTCTATCTTTTAGATGTTATATGTTAGCCTACATATATTATTTCTGTGAGTAATTGGGCTTAGTGGCCCACTATTCTCTGACCAAATGCAACCCTAGGCCTACTAAACCCAACCCCATCCATCTGTCAATATAAACCCCTCCCCACCCCCACCCTTTCCCAGTCACTCCACCAGCCGCCACCCAAAAGAAACCCTACAGATGGATCCTGACATGGGAGATGTCACAGAGGAGGAGGGGGAAGCTGTGGATGTTAGGACAGCAGCAGCAGCACAGAGGAGGAGGAGGCGCAGGCAGAGGGCACTAGAGGCGGCCCAGGATGAGCAGCAAGAGGAGTTCAACCGCCGACTCTCCGACAAGGTACTGGAGAAGTACAATGACGAAGAACTGGAGCTGGTTTTCACTGGTGGCAGGGGAAGGTCATTCATGGAGATCATTAGGTGGGCAAGGATGAGGGCAGTCATGGCTCCTCATCCAGCAACTAGGGCCAAGTGGGTCCGTTTCTTCGAGCGATATGACTGATATGTCAATCTCATCTCATCCATCTATATACCTATCTATCTATTTTTCTATGTTGGTGTACTATGTAAGATCTATTCTATGTAATAAGTGGTGTTTGATGCTACTCTGAACCAATGTATCTGTGTATTTATGCTACTCTCAATGAATTTATGCTACTTTCAATGAAATGTACTAACTGAATTCACTGACAGAAGATACACTCACTGAAATGTACTGACTGATTCAACAAAGGAATCTTTGTCTGAATGAACAAACTGCACAGTAGTTATTACAAACCATGGTAGTTCAACTGACTGAGTATCTCTGAAACAAAATAAAGTTACAAACCATAGTAGTTATTACAGACCATAGTAGACCCAAATCCATCCAAGAGCTCAAGTTACAAACCATGGTAGTTCAACAAACAGAACCATGCCAAATGAACTCAAGTTACCCAAATCCAAGAGCTAGTTACCACTTGCATAAAAATAGTCTTTCAGCCTCCCACTTGGCTTCCTGATCCTCTTTGACCCCTCCTGGACAACAGTTGAATTTGGTTGCCTTGGTGCAATGAAAGTTCTTCTCTGGACACTTGAAGATCCGGTGTTCTTTGCTGGAGAAGATGTAGATGATCTGGTGTTCTTAGCAGGAGAAGAAGTGTTAGTCCTGCTCCTCTTAGCTGGTTGTGCTTGTGCTGTAGCTGCTGGAATAGTTGAAGCAGCCCTTTTTCTTGCCCTAGGCCTAGAATTAGCAACTGGAGCTAGTGAAGGTGCAGAAGGTGTAGCTCTTGCTATAGCTGGTCTTGCTTCAGGTGTAGTAGCAGCAGGTACTCTTGGAGGCCTCTGAGCATTTGTAGCCATAGAAGAACCAGCTTGAGAGTAATTTGCTCTATTTTCCTACACAATTAAGAAACATTGTAAGAAAATGAACAATGAAAAGAGACAATGAAATGAGACATGGCCTCAAATGACCTGGTGCTTGTTCATCCTCATCTGAAACTGGGAAAATTATATGCTTGTATGTTTCACAGTACATGGGCTTTCTGAAGAAGTCATTGACAAAGTCTTCAGGATGTAGCTTCACTTTCTACATTGCAGCAATGGAATGACTGCAAGGCACAACAGTCATGTCCCACCTCCTACAGTCACATGTATGGTTGTTCAAGTTAACACAATATGTGTGCTCAGATCTACTAGTCACCTGCCAGATGCCTGGACCTGCCATGTATGCATCACAATACTTAGCCCACTTCTTGCCTTCTTCTAAAATTTCTGAGTAGGTTGGTGTAATCTCCCATCTACATGACTCTGTTTTCTCTCTGGTTTTCTGAAACTTGATCATCAACTTTGTTCTTATGCCCTCTAGCATAGTCCTGATTGGCTTGTTCCTAACATCCAATATCATTCTGTTGAAGACTTCACTGAGGTTGTTAACAACCAGGTCAGTTTTGCAAACAGTATCCATTTTATATCTTGCCCATGTATGGTCTGGTATCTGTGACAACCACCGCCAAGCTTCAAAACTTTCTTTCTTCAAATTTTCCATCCCTTTTTCATGACCACTCTTAGTGAAGGAATAGGCAGCCTGATCTAAGTGTTTCTTGAGTTCCTCCCCTCTAAAACCACCAAATTAAAAGTTGGCATATATATGTCTAAGACAGAACCTCTGTGGGGAGTCAGGGAATACATCATTGATTGCATTCAACAATCCCTGTTAATTATGAATTAATGATGGCTTAGAATGATGGATAAGTATGATAGTCAGGGAATACATCATTGATTGTATTCAACATACCTTTTGCCTGTCAGGCATAATTGTGTACTTGCCAAACTTGTTCCCACTTCCAATAACAATTCTCAGCTGTGTGAGAAACCATGTCCAGTTGTCTGTGTCTTCCTTGTCAACAACACCAAATGCAATGGGGAAGATGTTGTTGTTCCCATCCCTGCCAGTAGCTGCCAATATTTGCTGTCCAGTGCTGAGCTTGATGAAGCAACCATCTAAACCTGAAAATATGATCACATTAGTTGTAAATAACATGAATGCAACCATCTTAGATATATGTGTAAGGATCAGGTACCTATAAATGGCCTGCATCCATTGAGAAAGCCCTCTTTGCATGCAAAAAGGCAGTAGAACATGTAGTTGAACCTAGGGGTAGGAGCTGGATTTTCTAGGTCATCTTTGGTTGTCACTATGCATCTACTGTCTGGATTAGTATCTAACACACACTGTAGATAGTCCCTTAGTCTGTGATATTGGAGTCTGTGATCTCCTTGCACAACTTCAACTGCTTGCCTCCTTGCCCTATATGCCAAGCTTTTAGGCACATGAACACCAAATGTTTTCTTTGTGTATGACATAATTGTCTCAACACCAGCTCCAGGGTTTGATCTAATGGTATCCTCACAAACCTTGGCAACCCAGTTTACTGTAACTTTGGTGCTCTCTCCACTTGCTCCACAAGTGTGGTCCAAATTCATCTTCTTGATGCTGAAAGTAGACTCATTTGCTATTCTAGAGGCCACTATATAAAACTGACAACCTTGCTTTCTATCAGAGCACCAAGCAATAACCCTAGTTGGTTCATTTTTGTGATACTCAAAATTCCTAAGTGTCCTGACATGGAAATTTCTTAGTGCTTCTCTGAACTCCACAACATTTAGGAAGCACAAATGCAATGCAAACTGCTCATGTGCATCAGGGACTGATGGATCATACCACCTCCTCTCCTTCCTCTTCTTCAACCTTCTCTTCCTACCAGAAGGCAGCCTTGGAACTTCTTCTTCATCACTAAGACTAAAATCATCTGGAAAGCAGTATTCATCAGGTTCAGGAACCCAATCTTCAAACTTGATGTGTTCAGGCTCACTGTGTGACTTGCTAGTTGGGCCTGGATTTCTGACAGGATTAAGCTTCTTTGCTCCTTTCTCTAGTACAACTGAGGGTTCTTCATGTTCAGAAAGGATTTGGTCTTCCTCCCAAAACTCAGAAGGTTCTGAGTTTGCTCCACAATAGTGATCTGCAGGTTCTTCCTCTCCCCTAGTCTTCTGGCTTGTCCTTGTGCCTGCCTCATCTTCACCCCTACACCAAGCCTTGTATGATATATTCTGCCCTTTGTAATCACCCCTAAAAAACTCAAAATCTAAAGAGGATTTGTCCATCTCATCTTCATCTTCATCTTCATCTTCATCATGTTCTACTTCTACATCTTCTTCTTCTTCCACAACATTTTCCCCTTGTTGAAATTACAACTCTATTGTGTGTTAAGATAGGGCTCCTTAGGGATTGCTGCTGCCAAAGTTGCATTAGAGAGTGGATACAGGACCCCTTGTTGGGAAACACTATAAACAACAGGTTTACCAACATGATCAATGGGGATCTGCTCCTCAAGCATGATGTGATCCATGTTAACATCTGCTAGGCTTGGATCAGTAGGCTTTCTGACAGTGATGTTCAGGATCTTCTTATCAACAAACCAGTCAAGCATGTCCTCTAATGCCTCCTCACTATCCAGGACCTCCACCCCTCCAAGCCCTTTCCCTCTTCCTTTACATAAGTCAGACAAGCATCCATTCCATAACCCTCCAACTCAGCCAATGCTAATATGGTCAGATAACTAATGTCTGAAGAAACTGAATACTTTCTCTCCATGTTATCTGTTCCTTGAAAATGTAGCCTCATGTCTCAAATCTCATCATCTAAGCTGTAGGATTAAATTGACAAACAATTAATTTTTAACTCACTAAAACTTTAAACAATGACCAAATGTACTGAACATTACTGAACTTTCTTCTAATTACAGTGAATGCACTGACCAAATGAACTAACCAAATGCACTTTCTTCTGAACTGACTTAACCAATAAAACAATGTACCATGCCAAGAACAAACAATTACTAACCCTAGTTCTAAATTGAACTAAAGGACCCAGAAATTTGTAATTTGAACTAAAGGTATGAAGTGCTAGAAATTTCTTACCTCACTCCACCAAAGGATGAAGCCCAAGTGTGGCCTCCTTCTGGATCCGCATGGATGGACTTCGCCACTGCCCTAGCCACGCGGACTGCCGGATCTGAGCACGCCGGATCGACCTCAGCCGCGGGCGGTGATGGCTGCTGCAACCGCTGCACCGGGAAGCTCGAGCTGCCTCGCTCTGGGGCCACCTCTGGATGTCCACCGCCCTCCTGGTCGGTGACGCCTTGGCTCAATAGCTCGCCG